AAGTTTCTAACGCAAACTATTTTAGTTTTAGGACGTGGCTATTCAGATTCTCACCCGGGGTGAGAATAAGAAATACAATCTACCTTTCATCCCGGGTGAGACTTGCCAGCGTAGGCTATTCTCACCCGGTGTGAAACAAGACCTGTTTTTCCTCAATTTGGAAAACTGTCTATCGGTGTGGATGATCAAATTGTTTAAGCCAAGAAAAAATTACGTTATAATTATAGCACAAAAGTAAGCTAATTTGATCATCTTCAAAGTCAAAGATGCTATGGCTATTTCACTTTACTTTTCTGAATACACTGTCTATCGGTGTGGACGATCAAATTGACCAAAACAAAGTTAAAAAATGATGTTAATAAACAAGAAAACTAAATTAATTTGGTTGTCTACAAAGATGCTACAGCTATTTAACTTTCCGAATCGAGCCGATCTACGCGGGTCGCCATTTTGTTTTGTCCTGAAGTTCTCGCGCTACTCCTCTCTCTCTCTTTCTCTCTCTCCACTGCCCACAGACAAAATTGAACGCTTTTAGGCTAACACTAACAGTAGTAATAGATCTAGAACGTTTGTTCCCAGCACAAAATTCTTTAGATTCTCTAATTCTGTTATCACAGTGTAGAATTCTGTGGTTCAGGGTGAACGCTTTGATGACTGGTTAGCCTAGGCTATGACGGTGAACGCCCACCTGGTGAGAATAGCCAAAAGACTCGTCTGCGGGGTGAGAATAGAGGTGGCCCTATTTTACTCACACTCATAGCGGGTTTGGAGCGTTAGGCCTGGAGGAAGAAGAAAATGAAGTAGGTGAGAGGGAAGGACTTCCGTAGCGAGCGACCACCCTATCAAACACAATAAGATAGGCCTAACCGAAACCCTAACCCTAACACTACCCCTACCCCTAGATCTACCCCTACCCCTAGCCCTCAATTCTGCTCTGTCTCGTAGTGGTCACTCGTTACGGAAGTCCTCCCGGTGAGAGAGATATAAGTTGAGAGATGTATGCCATAGACCTAGATCTAAATCTAGAAGCAATGTTTACAACATTGCTAGATCTAGGTCTCTCATATAATGGTAAGGGAGGAATTTATAAACAAAAAAGGAGAGAGACACTTTTAAGCCAAAGCAAGCAAGCACTCACACACACACACACACGTGACACACACACGACAGTCAG